GTCTACCTAATCATTCTTTGTACAGACTCATTTTTGTACCTTTTTGTCATCTCTTTTGGCCTTCTGTGAGCTTTCTGCAGTTGTCATCCCTTACTCTCGCTCTTTGCGTGTTGATAAAATACTTAAGAGAACAGAGAGTGCTTTAAACAGGTGTTTTGAGAGGCGGGTGGGGACTTCCAGCCAGCTGAAACGAACTTGCCGAGTAAGAACAAGTACGTTGCTGAAGAGCTTTCATCTTGTTTTCAGGACTGGAAATTCAGACAAGCTTATCACTGCAGAGCTAGGAAGGAAAATGGAGGAGAACTTACCTGTTGCACCAGGAGAGAGCACAAGCTCAAATTCGAGACAAAGTGAAAGTCACAGGAGAGTGCTTTGCTTTGATAACGTCCTACCCGCTCCAGGAGGAAACACCCAAAGTCAGACTACTAAGAGTTTATCCCAAAAAGAAAGAAACGAAAATACTTTATTTGCTGTTGACTCTGCATCATCCTCTGCTAAGGCACAGGTAGCAAAGAGAGAGAAAGATAAAACGTTGCCTAGAATTCTGTGTAAGCCAGAAGTTGGTAGCAACAGAAGCGCGTCTGCAAAGGAGCCACAGCCCGAGCGGAAGGTGGCAACTGCCGGGCTTCCGTTAGATCCCTTCCACAAGACTACAGCAAATAAAGAAAATGAATTACGACGGGATACTGATGAAAAACAGAAGAACCAGGAGACCGCCAAACTCTCAAATGGCCAACAAAGCGTGAGCTTATGGAATGAGAAGACAGTTGCTTCAGTGCAAGAGCTGAACAAAAAGCAAGGGTCGCTGTCAAACGGCAACAGCAAATCTGCAGTCTCTGTTTCTTTGTCTTCGAAGGAGCCAAAGCGAGAACCAGCCAAAGTTTCCAACCAAGGTCTTTGCCTGTCAAGTCCGTTCACTAAACAATGTGTGGAAATGCTGCAAGACATTCAGTGGCATAGTCCGACTAGTAAAACAGTTGAGAACGGAGAATTGCCAGTACCCCGTACGCCGTCCGGAGTGGGGGACAGGCATACAGATGATACTACAGATAGTGTACGGACACCGACCTGTCGGCGCTTCAACGAGGATAGTACGACTCCTAGAATAATGGTACCCCCTGCTACACCAGACCTGCCGGCCTGCAGCCCGGCTAGTGAAACGGGGAGTGAAAATAGCGTCAGTATGGCTGCTCACACGCTGATGATCCTGTCGCGGGCGGCTATTGCACGGACTAGCACTGCAACCCCTCTGAAGGACAATACACAACAGTTCAGGTCTTTAAGGAGCACAGTAAAGAAAAGGAAACTAGAGGACTTGAATGAGGGTGAGAGGAATTCTCGTTCTGCTAATAGAAAAGATCTTCAAAGCTCTCCAACACCATCAAAAAAGAAGAAAATAAAGGCAAGTATAGGCATTTACTTTTTAATTTAGAATTCTAATTTAGACATCTATATATGTATTATTTATAATGGGATGGTTCAGAGGTGCCAGTCCAAATCCCTGACATCCTGTTTATATTGGTCAGTTGTACTAACTTGGCCTCTTGAGCCTACTCCGAACTAACAGTTTTCCTTAAGGTGAGTATAGTCTTCAGACACCCACAGGTAACTCCTACTGACTCCCTACACATACCTGTGAAAATGAAATTATTTCTCTTAAAACATGAAAGAGTTTCTAACTTCAGATTAAGTTTCTAGGTGGAATGTAGGAATTAGGCGAAACTCAAACTAGGCTTTACTAGAATTCTGGCTGTTCTTGCATCCTCATTTACCACCAAGGACTAGGAATCCCCGTTTTGTATGTTCCCGGTCCCTGCAGTCTACAGCACCACGCCTTTGAGGTGGGGATTTGATGGCAGATAGCAAAGGTGTGAGACGTGACAAGGTGATGTCCGTAAATAATCAAGGAGGAGACACAGTCCAACTTCGTGATTCACCACACTTAGTTCTCATGTACTCCTGAAATACTATAACTAACTAAAAACCACTCGCTTACTCATACTGTGTATGTGACAAGAGCCAGGCGGCTGTGCCTGGCTGAAATCTGGGTGGGCTACGGCAGAGGCGAGAGCTCAGCTACTCCTGCCCCATAACTGTGCCGTTTGTACCCTCGGGGTACACGTAAGTGTATCTGCATTTCAACGTCTGATTTCTGGACGTGCAGATTTTCTGATGGTGCAGTTACGTCATGAGGTAGGTGGAAGCATGAGGACAAATGGAATGTTTACAAGGCTCTTCGGTATCCCCATGTTCTTAGTATTGAATAAAATTTCAATTAATTTTCCTCTCCTACAGAAAAAGAAGCTACCGAATTCTTTTCCAGCA